AAAATGTCAAAAAATGTCATAGAATACTAAGGCATAAAATCACCATAGTATAGTATGGCATATAAATGTCATACTATAGTAAGGCACAAAAATGTCAAAAAACGTCATAGTATAGTAAGGCACAAAAATGTCAAAAAAAATCATAGTATAGTAAGTCATAAAATCGCCATAGTATAGTATGGCAAAAAAATGTCAAAAAATGTCATAGTATAGTAAGGCATAAAAATGTCAAAAAATGTCATAGTATAGTAAGGCATTAAATTGCCATAGTATATTAAAACATAAAAATGTCATAATATAGCAAGGCAAAAAATTATAAAAAAAAAACCTCATAGTATAGTAAGGCATAAAAAAGTCAAAAAACGTCATAGTATAGTAAGTCATAAAATCGCCATAGTATAGTAAGGCATAAAAATGTCAAAAAACATCATAGTGTATTTTGGCATGAAAATGTCAAAAAATGTCATAGAATACTAGGGCATAAAATCGCCATAGTATAGTAAGGCATAAAATCGCCACAGTATAGTAAGGCATAAAAATGTCACAAAACATCATAGTGTATTTTGGCATGAAAATGTCAAAAAATGTCATAGTATAGTAAGGCATAAAATCGCCACAGTATAGTAAGGCATAAAAATGTCACAAAACATCATAGTGTATTTTGGCATGAAAATGTCAAAAAATGTCATAGTATAGTAAGGCATAAAATCGCCACAGTATAGTAAGGCATAAAAATGTCACAAAACATCATAGTGTATTTTGGCATGAAAATGTCAAAAAATGTCATAGTATAGTAAGGCATAAAATCGCCACAGTATAGTAAGGCATAAAAATGTCACAAAACATCATAGTGTATTTTGGCATGAAAATGTCAAAAAATGTCATAGTATAGTAAGGCATAAAATCGCCACAGTATAGTAAGGCATAAAAATGTCACAAAACATCATAGTGTATTTTGGCATGAAAATGTCAAAAAATGTCATAGTATAGTAAGGCATAAAATCGCCACAGTATAGTAAGGCATAAAAATGTCACAAAACATCATAGTGTATTTTGGCATGAAAATGTCAAAAAATGTCATAGTATAGTAAGGCATAAAATCGCCACAGTATAGTAAGGCATAAAAATGTCACAAAACATCATAGTGTATTTTGGCATGAAAATGTCAAAAAATGTCATAGTATAGTAAGGCATAAAATCGCCACAGTATAGTAAGGCATAAAAATGTCACAAAACATCATAGTGTATTTTGGCATGAAAATGTCAAAAAATGTCATAGTATAGTAAGGCATAAAATCGCCACAGTATAGTAAGGCATAAAAATGTCACAAAACATCATAGTGTATTTTGGCATGAAAATGTCAAAAAATGTCATAGTATAGTAAGGCATAAAATCGCCACAGTATAGTAAGGCATAAAAATGTCACAAAACATCATAGTGTATTTTGGCATGAAAATGTCAAAAAATGTCATAGTATAGTAAGGCATAAAATCGCCACAGTATAGTAAGGCATAAAAATGTCACAAAACATCATAGTGTATTTTGGCATGAAAATGTCAAAAAATGTCATAGTATAGTAAGGCATAAAATCGCCACAGTATAGTAAGGCATAAAAATGTCACAAAACATCATAGTGTATTTTGGCATGAAAATGTCAAAAAATGTCATAGTATAGTAAGGCATAAAATCGCCACAGTATAGTAAGGCATAAAAATGTCACAAAACATCATAGTGTATTTTGGCATGAAAATGTCAAAAAATGTCATAGTATAGTAAGGC